TGAGTGTGTGTGTGTCTGTGTGTCAGTGTGAGTGTTTGCGTGCGTGTGAGTGTGAGTATGCGTGTGTGTGTGTGTGTGAGTGTTTGTGTGTGAGTGTGTGTGTGTGTTTGCGTGTATGTGTATGAGTGAGTGTGCATGTGTGTGTGTGTGTTTGCATGTATGTGTATGAGTGAGTGTGTGTGAGTGTGTGTTTGTGCATGCATGCATGTGTGTGTACATGTACTTGTACATGCCAATCTCCTCCATTCCCCCTTCCCCTCCCTTCTTACCCCCCCCCCACCTAAAACACCCCTTCCACTTCCATTCATGATCCAAATGTCCCTCCGCCCCACAGCATCATTGCAGCGGGCATCTTGTACCGGATGTACCAGTACGTTGGGGTCAAGGTCACCCAGCGCTGGCCCAGCCACCAGTCCTTGACCTCCAGCGTGCCACAGGGTGCCGTAGGCATGGACTGTGAGAAGGCCAACAAGGGTCTCTTTTCTGGCCTGCTCATCGCAGTGGTCACCCTCATCGCCATAGCAACCTTCTTTGTGTTTGAGAGTAGGCTCAACTACCCCGAGACAGCCATCAAGGTGGGTGTTGTCGATTGCTCATGTCCTAACAGTATGTTGCCACTTAGAATTATAAAATTCTATCGAACATTTTTGGCCATTTCACTTTACTGAGACCATGATGTCAGAAACCAAATGTTCTACCAAATCAATCAAAATCGTTAGATTATTCGGAGTCTTTATCAGGATATCCGAATAAATGCATTCGGAAAAGTTTGACATGTTGTAAAACTCAAAATTTTTACATCAAATTTCTCAAAAACTGAGGTACTGAGCAGATAGAACTTTGTACATGTAATTCTAGGGTAAGGAGTAGTCTAACTTTACTTACTTACTTACTACCCATTACGCCATCTGGCGTTTAGGGCAACAACAAAGGATCTCCAGCTCTGTCTGTCCGGGGCCATCTTGGTCAGCATTCCCCACGAATGGTTCCAGGACTTCATTTCTGACTCGACTGTACGTCTCCAGGTTACTTTGGGTCTGCTCCTTTTGCGACGTCCTTCGGGTGTCCAGTGGAGGGCAGTCTTCACAATAGAGTCTGGTTCTCTTCTCTATTCTCAGAACATGTCCAATCCGTCTCGATCTTCTTTTTTTTATTATGGTGGTCATGTCCTCTAGCTTACATTTACGTAACAGATCTGCGTTGGAGATCTTGTCGGGCCAGAAGATTCTGAGGATTTGGCGTAAGCTGGTTGTATGAAAGGAAGATAGCTTGGCACGGTCATGATTAGTCATCCTCCAGCATTCAGCTCCAAAAAGGAGTGTGGATAGTACACAACTGTTATACAGCTCTAACTTGGTTTATCACCCAACTTGTTAGCTAGTTTTCAGGAGTCACGGAAAACAATTTTCATAACTTCCGTGGTCCCTTCTTTTCTGTCTTTACTTTAACCTTTCAGGTGGTTGCCGGAGGCACTTGTTTCCACAGGTCTGTCCCCGTGGTTTTATGCACCCCGCATAATTTAAGCAAAATTTGATCAATTTTTGCATGATTTCTGAATATTGTCCTTCATCATTCTTTGTTAAAATAAACAGAATCGCATAATTTCACATTTTTGGACTCAATTTGCATAATTTCAGAATTGTTCTTGCATAAAACCACGGGGACAGATAGGTCCTACTTCTTAACCATCCCTTTGTTGCTGTTCTATCTGTCTGTCTTGCATTCCCCTCCACTCTATGACAGGTGTTACTACAGGTGTTAATGTACTTCTCTGTCTGTCTTGCATTCCCCTCCACTCTATGACAGGTGTTACTACAGGTGTTAATGTACTTCTCTGTCTGTCTATTTTAAACTTCCCTGCTTTATATGGCAGTTATTGTACATGTATTCATGTTTTTCTCATTCTCAATCAGTATTTTTTGCCTTTCTGTGCATTAACTGAAATTTTGATAAACGGTTTCTTCGTCAGATTTTCTTCATCATGGAGATCTCCCTGATCGCCATCACAGGAAGCTGCATCGTCCTGGGCATCCTGCGGTTCGCGCGTCTGCGGTTCCTGGAGAACTACCTGTCCCTGGATGCCGTGCTGCTGGTGATCTCCCTTGGCGGGGCCTACATCTACCTGAGTTTCATGCTCATCTCCTCCGCCTCTATGGTGGCGCAGCACGGCATGATCAGCGTGCTGTCTCTGGCCGCTATCTGTGTGGGCATTGTGGAGTCTACGCTGCAGGTATGAGCACACACATGCATGTGCATACACATACACACACATTCACACACACACACACACACACACACCCACACACACGCGCGCACACACTCACACACACACCGGTGGCGCGTGCTGTCTGTGGCTGCTATCTGTGTGGGCATTGTGGAGTCTACGCTGCAGGTATGAGCATACATACACATATATTCATACACATACATACATATTCACACACACACACACACACACACACACACACACACACACACACACACGCACACATTCACATATGCACCTGGATTCGCTCTTTCTTTGTCTCTCACTATGTCTCCCCCCTCCTCCTCTCTCTCTCTCCCCCCTCTCTCTCTCTCTCTCTCTCTCTCTCTCTCTCTCTCTCTCTCTCTCTCTGTCTCTCTCTCTGTCTCTCTCTCTCTGTCTCTCTCTCTCTCTCTCTCTCTCTCTCTCTCTCTCTCTCTCTCTCTCTCAATATCTCTCGCTCTCTATCTCTCTCCCTCTCTCTTGTTGAAGTCTTCGGAAAACATGGAGTGAGAACGTAACAAGGTATGTGGCCTTCATCACACTTCACACAACTATCAGAATGCTGATTATAATGAATCTAGCTTAATAATTATAATAATAAATAGCATTTGTACAGCGCATATCCCCGCTCAACAGCAGACTCTATGCGCTTTGCACTATATTATTACCCCAGCAGACCATAGAACACTCCGAAACATTCTCAGCTTCCCAGGAAGCATACAGTGCAAGCAGCCGATTAAGCGCTCAAACACTAACAAACTGACAAGGTCTTTCACTGTCTATAGCTGGGTACCCATTCCCACCTGGGTGAAGTGAGGAAAATACGTGTAAAGTGCCTTTCCCAAGGACACAACGTCGGGCCCCTGGCAGGATTCGAACCCACGACCTTACGGTTGCGAGTCCGAGAGCCTAACCACTAGGCCACCGACGCCATGATATGCGTGTGACTATGAGTCTGTCTGTGGGAGTAGTGTAAGCATAATATATTATGTAAGGTCGTGTGTGTATATGTGAGGCAGCGTGGTGGAATCAGGCTCTCGTCAATTTTTGAGCATGTTGAGTTATTGGTATCATCTTAAAGCTTGTTTTATTGTCTTTATTTGGATGTAAAAAATGTCCATTTATCTTGAATACAAGTGGAGATATTTGAGAATGAAAGAGGTGGGGGTCACCTGTTTTCAGAGGAAAAATTAGTGAGAAAATGGCCGCCAAAGATTGGTTATTTCCTTAGCTTAAGAGTCCGTGGTAACTGGAAATTTCCTTTTTTTGTGCCTTTTATCAATGTTTTTCTGGAAAATTTTCAAAAAAATGAGTTCTTTAATGGGCATTAAAGGTGTTGAGCCAAAAAACAAACATTTGATAAAAATTCACAAACCTGCGGAAAAATGCAGGTTTCTTCAATTTGATTATTTTGACGAGAGCCTGATTCCACCACGCTGCCTCACATATGTGTGTGTGGAAGAGAGGAAGGAGGAGAGAGTATTTGTGTATAGATTGTATGTGCGCACATATGTGTGTGTGTGTGTGTGTGTGTGTGTGTGTGTGTGTGTGTGTGTGAGAGAGTGTGTGTGTGTTTGTGGAGTGTATGTGGTGTGTATGTGTGTATTGAAACACCAAACTATGTACAAATATATTAGTATTAGATATATGTAGATGTCTTTCCTTATAGTGCTTTAATGTGATATTCATTCCCCTTCCCCCTCCTTTCCCCTCCCTCCTTCCTCCTCCCTCTCCCTCCCCCTCCACCCCCAATTTCACTCCCTCCCCACACTCTCCCCCCTTTCCCCCACACCATCCTCCCTCCCCCTTTTCTCTCCTTTCGCCCCCTCCCTCTCCCTCATTTTACCTTTCCCTCCCTTCCTCCCCCTCCCTCTCCCCCCATTTCCCCCTCCCCTCCACCCCCTTCCCTAACACCCCTCCCTCCTCCCACCTCCTCCCATCCCCCCACTCTACTCTTTCCCCTCCCCCCAATCCCCTCCTCCCTCCTCAAGGCAATCTTCATCCTGGACGGGCTGAGCCGGCGCGCGGAGAACGACACCCAAGTGGAGTCCAAGCCGGGCCGGGCAGTGGTCACTTTCCTGCTGGTGTGTAACCTGGCCCTGTGGGTGGTCAGCATGTTTGAGATCAAGAAGAACATGGTGGTGCCCTTCCACCTGGACTTCTACGGCATCCTGCCCTGGAACATCATGCTACACATGTGCGTGCCGCTCTTCATCTACTTCCGCTTCCACTCGGCCATCTGCCTCTCCAAGATCTGGTACCACGCCTACCAGAAGGAGAGGAACCCGCCTCAGTGAGTGAGGGGAGTCATGTGACCAGTGAGGGAGTTATGTGATCAGTGAGGGGTCATGTGACCAGTGAGGGGGTCATGTGACCAGTGAGGGGGTCATGTGACCAGTGAGGGAGTCATGTGACCAGGACCAGGGAAAGGATTAATGACATCACATCGCATCACCACGCCCTCCATCCCTCCTCCTTCCTCCTATTGGATTTTGCGGTTTTTCTTACAATTTGTGAGGCATCGTAGTGAAATCAGGCGCTGATCAAAATTATGAAATCAAAGAAATCAGCTTTTTGGGGGGCTGATAGGCTTCTTTTTTTTAACTCAACACCTTATATGTCCATTTAAAAACATATTTTTGTGTGGATTTTACTGAAAAGCATCGATTAACGACACGGAAAATGTAAATCTTCAGTTCCCAAGGACTCTCAGGCTATGGAAGTTCCCAAACTTTGGCGGACATTTTATTGCTAATTTTACCTCTGAAACCAGGTGACCCTGACCTCCTTTAATCACAAATATTTCAACTTCTGTTCAAAATAGATGGATATTTTTTCCTCTAAAGGAAGCATATTGACAAGATGCTGCTCATTTAGTGCTCGAAAGGAGGAAATGACAAAGGGAGGGTAAAGAATAAGGGCCCAACCATCTGCAATATTTCTGTGCTTAATGTTATAAGCTATCAACACCCTCTTTAAGCAACAGTCAAGATGACAGAAATTTTGCAAAGTCAGTAGTCAAGCCTCTTAACTATTTAGAGCTTTCTAGAGATCAAAAAGTGTTCGTGTTAGGAATGGGAGAGGAAGATACAGAAAAGAAAATCAGGAGGTGCGGAAGGGCTAGAGGAGAAGGAGGAGGGAAGGATATTTTTGCTTTTAAGGTACTGGGGTATAGTTAGGAATCAAAGGAAAGATTAAGTTCTGTGACATTGAAGGACTTTGTGTGTTCTTTGAAGGAGAGTTCAGCCCTATGCTTACATATGTATAGAAGTGCTCACCTTGTGTGAACTTGCAGATCATAACGAGAGTGGTGGAATTTTGTTTGCCAGAGGCAGAGCTTTGTGGTTTGATGTAGGAATTCCATCCACCATTTCCATATAGTGTTATATGAGCTGTTGGCCTGCGAGGCTGTTCCAAGTTAATTAAAAACCTGACCATTGTACCAAATACCATCACTACATACAGCAGATTTGACACCAGGAAAACTCTGTTGTGACAGTTTTTGACCTCCCATTTGTTCAATGCATTGCCTTTGGTCTTTTATATATTTAAGATTATTTTTTATACAATATTAGAATATATGAATGGACACATCTGTTTTTTGGGGGGGTGTCTGATTTGAATGTGTGTTGACTTTTTAAATTATTTTGTGAAAGCCAGAACTGGCAAGACTTTGATGTGAAATTTGGGGTTTATTTTTTTATAAAGATCTGCTGCTCATTTACTTGCACATGACAATTTATTTAGGGATAAGGAGGAGCAGATTCGCATGCACCACCAAAGGAATTAACAACTTTCCCACTTTTTCAGTCAGTCAAAAGACAAAACTTTTCTTGGGGAGAATGATATTAAGGCAGCCAAATGTGTGTGTATGCGATTGTCATGAATGTATTTTAAAGACTGAGTGCAACTGAACACATACAGATTTTGTGAATGAAATGCGAGTATGTCTGTACATTGTGAAAAATTGTAAATAATATTTTATGAAGTACAAACTTTTGAGCTGTTTATTCACATATATATGTTATTACATTATTAGTGCCAAACTGAGCAAAATGCCTTCAAACTCACTACAACTGTGACCTACTCTGCTAGGTTGAATATAATATATGTATATGTCTCTTATTTTGACTGAATTTTTAAGACTTTTCATTTTGAATTAATTTGAATAGTTCCACACAAAAAAACTACCCAGTTGCCTCTTCTTATGAGAGCCATAACCACATTTCTGTAGCTCTAAAACTTTTCAAAATGAGATTTTCTTCTTTTGTTCCATGCTTTTAAAACTCTTGAATTTGATTAAGAGACTCAATTCCTTTCGTGTTCAGTGCATTGTTAAGATTTTATACCATTATGAACTAAAGTTCCCCAAATGTTTTGGTTCAGAATGAACATATTATAACCAATCTTTTGCAGGTCCATATATATATATACAAACCCTGTCTTTTGTAAGCATAATAAATCCAGTACGTGTATTATACTATATCAATGCCATTTTATTCATCAGGCCCTTTGTGCAATGTAAAATATTTCTGTGCGAGCAGAAGCCCGAGAATATTATATATCTTATTTGTACACTGCCACAGCGTCAACGCGTTGTACGTATCGCACCGTTACATTTTTGTCTCTGTCCTTGTCCTGGAAAGTTTGTTCTCTTCAGTGCTTAAAATATGCTGTTTGATCAAAAGTAAAATAAAATATATTATGTTAGTTGTTTTTTTTACTTTAATCTAAAAACAAAATCCAGGTTAAAAAGTATTTCTTTTTGAGAGGTGAAAACCTCCCAAAACTCATTTGTCAAATAAATAATCACAAAAAAAATTCATTCTCAAACAATATTCATTGAAGACTGTACAAGAAACCTACATTCAACTTCAACCACAAAATTTAAGATGGAGACTTAAAGCATTGCTTTTTTTTACTTTTTTTTATTGGAAAAGGTTTTATTTTTTACTGCTTTTATTGGCACAGGGTATAAACATGTCTAGTTGATGAAAGAAAATAGAAGATAAAAGGCCAAATATTGTCAAAAATGCTGCAAGTGTCATTTTACAGAAACACAAAGCGGATTTTAGTCATAAAATAGTACATGACCCACCAGCATTCCAGAGAGTGATCTGTAGGCAAAATATTTGTTAGATTTTGTTCCCCTTTGTTGCCCTCGGCTGTTTGGTAGTTATGTCCCTTACTCCATGTCATCCACTCTCTCACAGGGTGGAGATTTTTGTTTTTGCCCATTAACTATAAACTATAAAGTGCTTTTACATAGCATAACAAGTTGTTGTAGACAGCTGTTCCTCCTCTCTGGCCTTGTCTCACTCTGCCTTTACGGTGTACTTCCATAATTATAAAGATTTACTTCCTTGCACGTATATCAAATATAACATCAGCAGAAACAAAAAGTCAGTAGAATATCGTACTCTTCTCCGGCTCTAGTTGTCTGTACCAACTAATCAAGACATGTATCTGTAATCTCGTTCCCTCACCACCTTATCACATTTTTGTCTTAAAAACCCAAGAGCTTGATAGCTTTGGCGATTGAGAATTTATATAAATGTGTAGGTAATCTGGAAAAGGTCCAAACATACCATACTCCTCAGAAGGAAAAAAATATTGATCTGTATGTTTTCTGCTTAAGCACATGATAAAATCCTTGTGTTGAACACCTGAAAAAAATATTATACTTTCGCAGAAAGGAAAATCTGTGGGATAGGACAGAAGAATCTATACTATCAGCGTTAACATCCAAGCATCCACAAGTAAAAACGGTACTTAACAGAATTTACAAAGCTCCACTGTAATTGACCTGTCAATGTCACCCTCAGACTTCAAACCAACAATACGAGAAACTTTTATATGGTACAAGTTCTCTTTTTCTCAGCTTGTTCTTTTTAACATCGGTGACACAGCTTTGAACGTCTCGGGTTCTTTTTACTGATTATGTTCTTCATTCGAAGACTTTCCAGCAAAAGACTTGCTGAAAAAGACAACAATATCTGTGTCGATATTAACTATTGCTAATATTATCATGAAGAGATACAAAGATATTCATTTTTTTTTACTGATGGTTGCAAGACGGCAGTACACTTAGAGTACATAAATCTTGTACAGAAAAAGCATGACAATATATGATAATTACGCATTGTACAATTATTTTCATTCTATTTTGTACTTTTTTTATTGATTTGTTTCATGTAAGTTTTTAAATTTAAACTCCCACATACCCTGGCATGTAACCTAATGCACTACCTCGGAATAATATAACTGTAAATGGCAAGTATTGCACACAAAAAAAGAACAAATAAATTGCACTGTAACTGTAACGGCCTGTACACACCAAACATCCGCGTTCGTGTGGTATCGTGTGTTCCTCTAACGCATGAACATGTGCTCATTCACACCTATCAACCATCTATTCATGTGTTATCCTGCTTGCTTTTTTTAACCAACATGGAAATGAGGACTGAGAACATAGTTCAGAGAGTAGGTCACAACATGAGAGCAGACGGAGGAAATGTAATGGCTGCCATAAAACTCACCACATGCACAAAGGACAACTAATAACACTACAGCATGAACGCAAACAGTTGGTGGGAACGCAGAAGTCTGAGAAAAGGGCGCGCCGAGATAAGTAATAAAATATTCTTTCGTGCGTCTCACGCATGATGCCACACGAACACGGATGTTTGGTGCGAACAAGCCGTGACACAGAAGTCCTAACCCTGTGATCACATGGTCTGATCACTGCTGGGATCAACAGGTTCACTTTTAAAATGGCATTTTGACTTTTTAGAGTTTTTCTCTCCAGTCATTTTTGTTTTGGTAACTTCTTTTGATCTACACTAAGAAACTCCCGCTCTCGAATTCCTGAGATTCGCGCCACGACTATTAATTACCGTTTCTGTACCTCGGATGTAGACACAACCACTTTAAAAATCTTTACAAAACCCAAAAAGGGAAAATATAGCAATTGTATTTCTAAGAGTTTAAATCATGTTGCCGTGCCTCCAGCATAAATATCAAATAGGAATATCTTACTAAACCTTAGCTATCAGTTTAAGTAAGAGTATTACAGCACTTGCAAAACAAACAGGTCAAATTAATAAGTTCCAAAGATAAAAGGTGTTACTAGAGAATAATATACTCAAAAAAAAGGAGGATCGAGAGATAAAGACGACAGATATTTGAGTGCAAAGAAGAAGCAAATCACACCCACCAACCACCCACAGAAATACTTTTAGTCTGCAAAGATATCATGAAGACTTGTCTAAAGCAAAGATGTGTAAGCCTACTGGAAGCATCAACATCTTTTAGAAATAGCTGAAGAAAATAAAAATGATTTCATGAGGTCTGTCTTGCAAAAAGTTCATGTAGATCTAGGCCTACATAAATTTTATAAAGATTGATTTTTTTTCTGTCATGATAATTGTTTCTATTCGTTAAGTCTGGGCTCTCTTCCTGAACAGACAGGAATCTTTTCAATACCAGTTTAAGAACAAAGTTTACTTATGCGTGAAGGTAAAGTTTCTGTGAATCGTTCATCAACTCTGCATATTTCTGTGGAATCGTAATTTTGCATGC